ATATATACACACATATTTATGTGTGTATAAACATATATAGACACATAGGTACAACAGAACTATCTACGGCTGTCACTACAATTTGCAAAGGGTCTTGGCTGTGCCTGCCGGTCTCGGATGTCGGACTGGCAGGAGAATGACCATTTCGGCTGCCGCTGCCCGGAATTGGGGCAGGCATGCTGCGGTGAAGTGATGCCATGCTATGATCTTTCATGGTTGCAGGCCTCAAGAGCCCGACAAGTTCACATCTCGTGGATGTTGGTGTCTCAGTAGGCGCCGTCAGCGGCACGCACAAGCCTGAATCTGAGAGTATGTGCTCGGTCAAGCGGAATTGCCGCATGGTCACATCCGAGTGTCCTCGGATGACCTGGGCGCGCAGCATGAGGCCGGGCTGAAATCAGTTGGCGCATGGATAGTGACAGGGCCTTGTCTTGCCTTTGCCTATGCATTGGTTGCAGCGACGAGTCAGGGTGATGACTGGTCAGAGGATACGCTGGGTGAGTTTGAGCGGGAATTCCGCCGCGCGATGCTCTGCCCAAATCTGTCAATGCAGTGCCGCACTCCTCTCGGTGTCGTATTAGGCCTTGCGGGCCTGCCTCCACGGATGCCGACCCCGCCCAAGTGGGCAAGACACCTACGGTAGCAGTTCAGCTCTTTTGCATGCTGCACACAGGGTTCTTGAGCAGTGACGCTTTTCCGTTGCTGTGCATCCGTGACATCGTGCTATAGCCAGGGCTCAACACATTAGTTGTTTGACTGTGTTGCCCCGAGGGTCCTGAGGCACATTAGTGGCAAGTCCAAGGATCATTACAAAGGCCTCAGGCTCCTTTGAAGGCCCCCAGGTTTCACAGACGCGCTTGCAGCCATGGGGTGCGGCGCTTCCGCGGGAGGTGGCAAGGACACCGGAGCATTCGCCTTGGTAGCTCCGTTTTGTGAGTTCGTGTTAGCCGCAGGACTCTGGCAACGGTAGTGGGAAGAAGTCTACAACAGGCTTCTTCGCGATGGTTTTCGATTTGAATCTCTCTCTTCAAAGGTAACAGCTCAAGTTGACGACCAATGCCAGGTTTTGCGTCGTCAAGCCTGATCGTTGACAATCAGGTGGAGCTGAATCTTGTGAGCTGCACCTTCTTGCTATGGACGTCTGCTTGCGCCAGAGAGACTCACGACTGCCGTGACTGTCAGGGCAAGATCACCCAGTTTTACGACATTGACAAGAAGAAAATCGGCGAGGGCTCATATGGCTCTGTTTGCAAAGCACGAAACAAGGCCGCAGCTGTACACTTCCACCCCACCTAACTCACAGTCACAATGTATGCTGTCCAGGCCACGAAAGCCATGCGTGCGATCAAGACAATTAACAAAGCAGCCCTGAAGAGCCGCAAACTTGGATTCACACTGCACATCCCGCGTGCTGCATCGTTTCTCACGTGGGATCACCGAGGTCCTGAAGCATTCCGAAAGGCCTGGAAGTCAAAAGCCTTTTCAACTGTAAAGCACAACCGCTTGTCACAGGAGATTCAGATCATGAAGATCCTGGACCACCCCAACATTTGCAAGCTCTATGAATCGTTCCAAGATCATCGCTACTCGCCCTGGGTTACATCCATCGGTGCAACTTTTCCTAGCAAACACGTCAACGGCTGCGTGACTCCGATAGCACTTTTCCGCAATTCTGACTTGAGGCAACATCTACCTGGTGCTTGAGCTTTGCACTGGTGGTGAGCTCTTCGATCGAATCATCGAGTATGGCCATCTGACCGAAAAGCAGGCAGGACCAAGATAGCGGCGTTGTCTGGCTTCGTCCGGCTGTTTCAGTCCAGTTGTACTACTGCTCAAGCCTGCAGGCTGCATTGCTGATGCAGACACCTGACTGCAAAGCTTCGGAACTTTATGGGGGGCTGCGAAAGCAGGAACATGGGCGGAGTGATAACACTGCCGGCATTACCTTTGCCTGAGCTGCCTTCTTCTTTGGCATGGTGTGCAGAAGCCCGTTATAGCATGCTTATGCGAGTGGACCGGAGAGAAAAGAACTGCGTGTTTTCCGAGGAACATGTTCAGGGCCATCTACTACATGCACCAGTGCCAGACCTAGACTGATGCTGCAAACCGACTGCGTGATTAAAGTGTTTTGTTGTTCCGCGGAGATTGGCCGCGGCTCTGCCCCAGGTCCCACTACACCCACCGAGATCTCAAGCCCGAAAACTTCATCTTCACAACCAAGGAGGGTTACAACTTGTGGAAAGCCTTCGGGGACGGACCAAGAAGCTGATTGCCAGGAAGCCATCGAAAAAAGCACGTTGAAGTTGATCGACTTCGGACTGGCTCGGGAGTTCACAGCCGAGCAGGCCGTCCATGGACCTTGAGAGAGCTTCAAGTCTGCCCATGTCTGCCCTATGCTGCTGAGTGGGTCCAGGTTCTGAATACAAAGGCTGGCACGCCGTACTACGTGGCGCCACAGGTGCCCTTTCGGAAAGCAAGCGACCGTTTTCCAAGCTGGTGGGTGCCGAGTTGTGGCACTGTGCAGGTCTTGGCAGGAAAGTATGACCACATGGCCGACATGTGGAGCTTGGGTGTTATTATGCTTCTTGGCTAAGCTTGCCACTGTGGGATTGTGTGTGACTCCCATATTTCGAGGTACGTTATGCTGTGTGGCTACCCGCCCTTTTATGGAGATTCGGACCAGGAAGTTCTTGACGAGGCCTGGGTCGCTGGAGCCTGGAACACTAGAATCACGCCATCGGGCGCTCCCAGGTGCGTCAGGGAAAAGTCAAGTTCCAGCCCGCTGACTGGCGACTTGGGCTTCGTAGTCCGGGTTGTGGTGGGACGGGTGGGAGGTCAATACATGACAGAGTGATCATGAGAGAGAGAGAGAGAGCGTGTGTGTGTGTGTATGTGTCTGCTGCGGCACAGTGTTTCTGGTTAAGATGTGGCATGATGTGCGTCCAACCAAGACAGCATCCTCCTGTGATGACGCACATTTCTCTCTTTTTTGCGCTTCCGTGGTTTCTGTCTTTTTCTGCTCACTTGCCTCCACCATCTGCGGCACGCAGAAACACTGCCAACAGGATAAGACTCAAAGCATCAACATGCTGCATTTTCTCAAGACTCTCTTCCCAGGTGATGATGTCACATAAGGCCCAGTAGTTTTGCCATTCGTCAAGTCGTCAAGGCTGGGACGCGTGGATTGCTCACCTCGTTCCCCTTTCCAAAACGAGCAAGAAATCGGGAGATGTAGCACATAGAGCCAAGGTAGGTAGATTATAAGCTTGCGTGTTCCCCAGCTTGCCAACGACATGCATCTGAGGAAAAACGTGTCTGATGACGCGAAGGCATTGCATCTCGGCAGCCAGGTAATGCCAGCCTTTGAAGAGGCTGCATGACAGCACTCACTGTACGACTCTGTATCATCGCATGTCGCATGTATTTTGCCAGCTGATGCCGAGGATCAAGAATCTCCTGCAGATGAATCCAAAGGAGCGATATACTGCAGAGCAAGCATTGAATGATGCGCTTTGCCTTGTACATCGTGTGCTGTGTGGTGTTTCAATGCCGCGACTGTCACGGACCCTGTGCCTTGGAGTTGGGCTGAGGTTTGGATCAAAGAGAAGGCCCCAAAAGCCAAGGATGTTAACCTGCAGGCGGGGAAGCGGAAGTTTCGCCTGGTACTTCTTGCCTCTGCAGTCCGTACTAGTCGTAGCGCTCGTGAAAAGCAGATTCGCACCCAGTGAAGCGGGCATCAGGCAGTCTTAGGGTTGGAACGAGCCATTTCTGTTGTGCTTGCGGAGACGCGATCAAACCAGGGTGCAGGACAGCAGGCTTCGCCGCCCACATTCAGTGACTGCTGCGGGGTGGGTGAGAGAGCTTGGTCCCACGGCGGCTGATGCAGAACGCTTTTCAACAAGATATAATAAATGAGCACCCCCGCCATCCTGCCACGTACGACGTGCAAGAAGCTGTGTTGAAGAGTATGGGTGCGAAGCTGAGTGAGACTTGGAGACGTGAAGGACAGCATGCTTGAGCGTTCAGTGGGGCACAAAGATTGTCTGGCATCAAGATAGGAGGTCCTTCGGTCAGTTGCTGAGCGACATGCCCGTAATCGACTCTTGACTGGGGGGCATTTTGTGTGGAGAAACTAGCCCATGACGAAGGGGTCCTGGTTCTCGAAAGAGACTGTAAACCAATAAGTTAAGCCAATAAGGCTTCACGACGTCGACCCGCAAAGCTGTTGACCTCATCCTAGCTGCATGAAGTTGTCTTGCGTCAGGATGGGTTTGTCGACAAACTTCGAGGCTTCCTTTCGCAGAATAAGCTGAAGCCGTCTGGTGGCATTAATTGCGCAGCGCGGACATGGTGCCGAGCTTGGGGGAGAATGAAAGAAGGGAGCAACGGCACTGTGCGAGGAAAGCTGCCTTGCAAGTCATCGCGAGTAGTCTCGATGACAAGCAGATCCAGCAGCTGGTCCGAAGTGAGATCCGTTCCGGAACGCTCCTTTGCTCTTTGCGCTCTACGAGTGCAACAGCCGAGGGCCCTCAAAGAAACCTTCATGTCCTTGGACGAGCGCCTTGACCGGCAGCCATGAGCAACTCAGCAACTGCAGCTTCTCTGCAGCTTACCCATCTCCTACGAACTCTGAGGAATGGGGATGGTCTGTTAACTGCAGCCGAGCTCAAAGCAGGTCACTTGATGCACTGGTTCATTCAGATTGTGTCTTCCTTGAAGCCCACGGTTTACTTCCGGGATGTAACAGCCAGCTGAGGCTTGGAGAAGGGCGGTGTGATGGATATAGCGGCGGATTTGCAGGACCGCTTGAAGATCTTGCGTTTGGCATGTATGCATCTGCACTTTGGTCCGGCTGCACTGTTCTTAAAAGCAGGAAATCATGAAAAGCATCGATGCTGATGGAAGCGGCGTTATCGATTACACGGAATTTCTTGCTGCTTGCTACGCATGCGGTCCTCCGAACGCTGTTCTGTTTGCTTCTGCTTGCATTCTGGACACACCACTTGCCTGGTGCATCGATGTTCTGCCCAGGCTGCCACACTGGACAGGAAGCATTACATGGAGGACCGATGGAGCTTCAAGCGCTTGTGCATGCTTGATGTCTGTGCTCTTTGCCGCACGCGGCTTCAGGAAGACGCGTGCTGGCAAGCCTTCCGTGTTTTCGATCGCGATGGTAATGGAACAATCAGCCAAAAAGAGCCACAGACTTAGCCTGTCTGTCCGTGATGCTGTGAAGGCACGTGCATGAACCAACTTTCCGCAATTGCAGTAGTAGATGTCCTGTGTGAGCATGCATGCATGCATGCATGCACACATGTTTCTATCTATAAGTCTGTCCGTCTGTCTGTCTGTCTGCCTGCTCACACGCTGTCCGCGACCATCCGGAAAAGGCTTGCGGAAGTGCTGGCAAGCGACGACGTGCAGGGCAAGTTTCACAAGGCACCAGCACAGCTGAACGAGAATGTGCTGCACACTGTGCTGTCCGGCTGTCCCTGTAAGGATCTGGCAGCAACTTGCCTGTGCCAGAACTCATGTGCCCGTTTGAGTTTGAAGTTCGGTCGTGGTCACGTCCTGCTGCCTGTAGAGAGAAGAGTGAAGGCGAACTCATCTTGCGACTCGGAACCAAGGAGTTGTTAAAGCAGGTCGACACGAATGGGGATGGAGAAATCGATTTCCAGGAGTTCATGGAAATGATGAGGAGCTGAGATGGATGCACAAAGTGGAAGGGGCTTCGCCAAACGGATAATCCGACCTTCTTCTGTGCAACTATTCCCGCAGCTGACGATGATTTCGCTGTCCGCAGACTTTCCGTGTGACAGATGCGGCATCAGTTACCGTTAAGTTAAGCCGGCCTCAGATTGCTACTTGTAGTTTCATGTCCTGGGTGTTGTATAGGCTTGGAGCAGGTCTTGGTCGCGATGGCTGGCTTAGTCAATGCTGCAGCGCTGCAGAATGCACGCCCGCAGAATCTGCTTTCTCACGAGCAATGAAGGAGCATACACAGACCGACATGTTTTCCAGGTCGTAACTTTCGCAAAGAAGTTGAGTTGAATGTTCTGGCATGTATGCTGCGGTTACGCGACACCCACACAAGTTACAGTGCCTCAGGCACTCAGTACTGTATCAGTCCACTTGTTATCGGCTTTGTTCCTCGCGTTTTTCTGGGCCCCCTTCCTTGAAGGTCCAGTCAGCCGATGCGCCATCTAGGCACCAGGCACTATGCACTTCGGTGCAGCACACCTCGTAAGGGACATGCTGACTCATGGAGGGGTTCCAAGATGAACGCCTGCGGGGTTCGAGAGGTCTGCCTAGCAAATATGCTCTTGTGGCACAGCCTCTGACGTCGAGGACGATGCGCACAACAGGGGACCGGGTCTGGCAGCCGGAGCCCGACTGCCGGCGTGGCTCCCGAAAGGACCAAATGGCACCTGTTTCACAAAGCTACAAAGCCAAGTTGTTGCCCGCGAAAAGGGAAGCGAAGCTGGCCACTGGCCGTCACTGGCCACCATGTACGGTGTAGGGAAGATCTTTTCAGGACCTTTAAGTGGAGCCTTGAGGTGCCACCCTGGCGTAACGCTGCGCAGGCCTGCAGAGTAGGCCGTTGGAGTAACTTCGGGAGCGTTTTTTTTTTTTGCGAGGTGAGGCCGCATTTGTTGCCTGTGGTTCCTGCCAGCGGAGAACCTTGGCTCCTGGAAATGACAGCCCATCCCACTACAACTCCGCTGAGATTCTACCAAGGCTTTGCCGAGGTCTCCCGTGCTCTCGCAGTCTCAGCCCAAGCTTCTCGTAAGGTGTCTCAGAGCAGGCTGCACTGCATGCTACTGGGTGGCGTTACTGGCGCTCATGGCTGTGAGGCGGCTGGGACCAGTTGAAGAAACTGCCATGCTCTCCAACGAGCCGTGCTCAGCTACTGCATGAGTACTAGTCAAGGCAAACGCAGCAATCGAGGAGCTGCTCATGACAAGGTGCTGAGCACACTGCTTCCAGTGCCATCGAAGCACTCCAGGCGGTTTTCTCATCCACAGCTGGGTTTTCCGAAAAGCTGTGGCCCGACCTGTAGGCTGCCACGGGCGCACGAACAGGCCACGAGTGCTGCAAGCGCAAGATGCACTGGGTCACCGGGTGTGCTTGTTTTCCCCGTGAGGATGCCACGTCCGTGCCGTCCATGGCCCCAGTCCTTCTGCGTGAGGCAGGAAAGCCTTCGCTCCATCAAAGCGGATGTGAGGATCTCGCCCGGCAGCCCGTTCAGCAGCGGCTCGAATGTGGTGTCGGAGGACGAGGATCGCGAGCGCAGTGAGGCTCCGGGCAAGGCTGCGGTGCCCACATGTCCTGGTGCCGTCGCCGGCCAGGTGCTTGCCTTTTGCAGTTCTCTTGTAAGACGATTTGGCAACACGACCAGGGCGTCAGCTACCTCAGTCTGAACAGGGGCTCATTCGTAAGCGATGGAGCCTCAGTGGGCCGGCCAAGGTTTCGTGCGATGAAGCGGGCAGTGCGAGCTGCCCACGGCGGATGTCCTCGGAAGGCACCAGGTCATAGATGAAAGTCTGTAGAAGCTGCGTGTTGCTTCGTGCTCACTCGAAACCTTCCACCAATTCCGCACCTTCTTGGCCTTGGCACATCTTCAAGCGAAGACTATACTTGCAGATGACAATGAATTCCAGTCTGTCCAGTGACAGCGCGGAGTTTTCGAAACGTCCGTTGCCAACCGTGTGCTTGCGTGTGTGCAGTTTGCCGGAGTTGCCAGGCGTCGAGCAGTCAAGAACTCGAGCCTCTGAGCAAGTCGGAGTTCGAATGGTGCGGCCGTCAGTTGAAGCAATCGACGCAATTCCTTGCGTAGCTGGCGAAGGTGTGTGACATCCCTGATGCGGCACGGCAATCGACGCTTGGCCTCGCGCCTGTTCGTGTCGAGCTGAGTCGAAACGCTTCAGCCCACATTGGCATGTTGTCGGAATCGAGCTGGGTTTGGGCTAAGCTGAGGCAGCATTGGAGACCGGAAACGGAAGCATTCCGGTCTCCAGCTTCAGTCGAAACATGGACTGGGTTGAGGCTTGGGCCTGGCGAAGTGCGCGGTTTCGCACAGCGGCCCTGCGACTGCGACCGCGACCGCGACACGGAGGATCTGCTGTCGCTCTTCCAAGTTCGCCAGAACTTGCTCGATCGCTTCGGCTCTTTTGCGGAGATAGAGGCACACTGAAGTGATCGTGACACGTACTTGGAGAGCAGCGTGCCAGCAAGGAAGCTCTTCGCTGGGCGACATGTCCAGCCATGAACGTTGCAAGCTCGGTCTGAGATTGGCAGTCCTAGACTCGAGCTACGAATCGTTGAGCTCAGGTTGAGACCTTGCAGAGTTGTTCTAATTCGCTGCAGATGCCTCCGGCTGGTAGCGCCGGTGACCTGGGCGCAGGAGAGCACTCTGCATCAGAAGAAGTCCTTCCTGAGGTCTCTAGACGAGAATTTGTGTCAGCAGTGAGCACGCTGGGGGTCACTGCCAGCCAGGCCAGGCATGCTGCTACATATGCTGCCGCGCTCCTGCTGCACTGCTGCTGCATATGCCTCACACTCGCAGCACGAGACTTGTCGCCTCCAACCGCTTCGCAAACTTGCTTCGCGAGGCGGTGCACCTCTTTTTCCTGCTGGACCACGTCGGTAAGGGTTCTATCGAGCTGTCGCAATTTATACACGCCCTCGAAGAGATTCCATCGGAGCTTACTTGGCGAGACCTTCGTCAACGGCTCTTGCTCAGGAATGGCTCGATGGCCGAGGCGCTTCGTTCGGTGACCAACCCCGACTTGTCTGAGTCCGAGCTCGGACGCTACGTGGCGAATTGCGAGATTCCCGACTTCCAACTTGGAGAGGGCAGCTCCTTGAAGGGTTTCCTGCGTGTGGCCGCGCCGGCCATCAGCCTCCAGGACTTCTGGCAGCGCGTGGCCTCCGAGTGGCCCCAGGTGTTGGAGGCCTCCACGGCCGCCGCCGCGGCCGCGACCGCGACCTCCGCGACCGCGGGGCGAAGGCGCGGGAAGGACAAATTCAATGCCGAGGACCAGAAGGACGCGACAGCCGAAGCCGCGCCCACGCCGCTGCAGGCGTTGCAGCATCTGGAAGCGCTACTCGCGGAGCTATTGCCAGAGTTCCAAGCTTTTCCGGTTCCCCATGCTTCGACCTTGGACAGCCAAGCTTTGGTCCTGCCTTCTCTGTCCTTCGAGATGTTCGATTGCCTGACTGAGCATGTTGATGTCTCGCAGGAAAACGCCCTAGAGCTTTTCCGCTGCATTGCATCGAGTGCTGCAGCTTTAGACAGAAAGACGGGCGAAGCACTCGAGCTGGGCCAGCTGGCTGCGACTTCCATTTTCGTGGAAGACTTCGCCGAGCAGCTTACGATGTGGTCGGCTTTTGAGCCGAAAGGTTCCAAAAGGGTCAGGGCGGCAGAAAGGGTGCGTCAGGTGGTGGCTCCTGTGAGAGCCGCTATTTCTGCCTTGAAGGAAGAGCTCACAACCGCCGTCCCTGCTCACAGTGAAGAGACCTCGGAGCCATCCTTCCTGGAACCACCGCGCTCCAAGGCGCGGAGGCGCTCACAGCTGCCCTGGTGCGCGTATTACCGCTGTCGCCCTGCCGGCCCTGCCTAGCCGGGCCCTGCCGGGGCTAGCCGCAACGCGAGTGCAGATCGCGGTGCGGTCAAGATGAGAGTTGTGCAAACTAGTGAATTCGTCTCCATCCATGCCGCAAAGAGTGTGCATCTGATGGGGTACTGCCGAAATGCTAGGCGGTGCCAGGCCGTGCATGACCCTAGACTTCCGATGCTGGCACAAGCTGGCTCAAGGGAGAAGTTTGCAAATCAGTGCAACATGATCTCGTGTGTGGCGTTTGATTCGTGGCCCCTTGCTAGATCTTACTAGCTCTAGAGAGTGTGCAGGCAGCACAGAAGCCGGTGAACCTTACCGTTGGACATCTTGCCTGCGCATGGAGCTCAGTCCGACAAACCCCCGGAGTACACAGCTTGGGGAAAGCTGAAGACGCAGTCGTAGCAGTGAGAAGTTTGTAGGGGCTGAGTCATACTTGTAGCATGTGAAGTCCTGCTGCGAAGGGATTGCAGCAAAATGCTGAACATCAATTTCCTGCGCCGTTTGGCCCGGCTTGTTGCTGAAATGCTTTATCTCCCGCATGCAGTCAGCCTGCCAAGTTGGCACACCTGTGTGCGTCTAGGTGAGGATGTGCACCTTGTGTAGTCGCTGTCGCCTATTAAAATGGGTTTGGGCTGTAAGCCTCAAGTCTCAAGTCAAGGCGTCACAGGGGTTTCAAGAAGCGTGTTCCCGAGCCTTGATTGTCCTCGAGCAAGATCATCTAACATGTAACTACCGTGTCGTTTGCTTTCACGATGCGATGCAGCATCTAAAGGTTGTCAAGAACGAGGGCGTGACCATCACGCTGCTCTCCTGACACGCTGATGCCTCCCACGGTGCCTGGCAGGCACGTCACTTTTTCCACTTTGCTCACCTTGCCACTGTAGCATGTCGCTCACTCCGGCGGCAGGGTTTGTGCATCGTGAAATGAGCCGATGCGACCTACCTTGCCCGTCGTGGTGAGTTTTGCGAGTAAGTAGTAGCCGCTAGTAACACGGTATTTGCCGACCCGTTGAGGATGCAATCTCGCCAGCCGTTCCCACATGCGACAAGTGCAGTCAGTTTTCACATACCACAGCTGGTATTGGAGGCCCAAAACTGATCTGCTGTACGATGTGTGAGCTGCTTGCAGACAGACAGTTCCTATGCAACAGCTTTCAAGGCTAGTCATAACGCTGTCTCATCTGTTGGGTCAAACTCTTGGCGAGTTGCAAGCCCTACCCCGGCTGAGGTCCTACTCCTAGGTGCCAGTCCTCTGCCGTGCGATGGCCGAACGGGAAGCTTCTCAGGCTTTGCGGAATTGGATAGCCTCGATGGGGCAAGCTTTCCGGAGGCTTGAGCCTCCGTCTGCCGGAAGCAAGAAGCTTTCAAGTTCCATCGTGTTCTTCGACTTTGATCTGACACTAACCGTCGTCCACGTTTTCAAGTCTCTTGCTGGATGGGTGGATGCCCAAGTGTGCATGCTGGCCATGCGTGGCATTGTCGTCTCGGAGCCACATGCATTGACCGAGCGGGGTCAGCTTCGTCGTTTGGCAGAGCTGGGCCCTGCGTGGATTGTGCAGGCTTTTGGCGGATTCAGCCGTGTAGCAGCGATTCGCAAGATGCTCGATGGCCTTCTCTCCAGTGGCTGCAGAATCATCCTGGTAACGCGCGGATACGTCGGCGTAGCGCGAAAGTGCCTGGCAGAAGTTGGCTTCTTGACTGCAGGCCAACCAGCTTGTGTAGCGGTGTCGCGAGTTCTGTTGTTTGTTTTGTGAAGCGGGATGCCAGAGGCTTACTGGACTGCTTCGAAGCACTCTATGGAAACATCGGCGTAGCATACGGTGCTCGAACAGCCTACGACCAAGAAACAGAGGCCAGTGGCAGTGGAGCCTCAGAGGAAGTCGACCGATTGTGGAGCTTGTTGGGCAGATGGCGGGAAGGTGAGTGGGATTCCAAAACGGAAATTGTCCATCGCTACAAGCATATGCACAATCTGACCGGTGAGCAGGTGCTGGGGGTAAGGGGGCCCTGCCCGAGGGTTTGGTCATGGCTTACGTCAATTGCCGGTCGTTGGGGTATCGGGTAAAGGCTTCTTGGTGGTCGTAGGGACCAGACATCAGGGAGTCGGGCTCCCTGGCTCCCGTGTTTTGAGAGGTGCTGTTCGTGGATGATGATGTCCAAGAGCTGACTCCGCTCCGACACTCAGCCTTGACGGTGCATGCAAAGGGAAGGAGCGGTATGGCAGCCTGTGACATGCTGGAAGTGGCACATCTTCTGGATCTCGGCTCAACTTGCTGGGCACAGTCGTGCTACGAGTTCTGGCAAGCTTTGCGGGATCCACTAGCCAGCAAGCCATTCGCCATCACAGTCTTCAATCGTAAGCATCTGCCTATTCGCTTATCACGGCACATTCAAATGCTGGAAGCCGAGTTTGCAGAGCGGAAGAGCTCGCTACGCCGTTTCACGCTGCTGAGGAGGGAGCCGCACCTTTTCTTGTCAATTGCACAGGACGCTTATGTGAAGCAGGTGAGTCTCACGGGCAAGACTCACGTCACATCCTTTGCACCGTTGATCCAGGGAATGCGTGAGCAGCTCGGAGTGGGATGCCCTCTTGATGGATCGTTCGGCGACTTAGAGAGATTGACTTCTCCATTTGGCCCCGGCGACGTCGATGAGTCAAGTACGCTCGCTCAAGATTCGGCTTTCGAGGCCGTCAGCGTAACTGGCAATCATCTGTACCAGGAACCTGCAAGCAAGCCTTTACCAGAGGAACCTGTGAAGACCCTAACGTCTCTGGTGCGCATGTTCCAGCAGACGTTGCTTGGGCTTTGCCCCATTACTCTGGCAACAGCTGGCAGGCATAGGAATACGATATGCTGCCACGAAGTCGAGGGGTTACCAGAGGAGGCTGTCTGGTGCAGATACCCGAAGATCAAGCACATCGGGGCAGGGCACTTTGGCGAGGTCTTTCAGGCGAGAGAGCTCTCGAGCGGCCGCCAGGTTGCAGTAAAACACCTGGAGCGCTTGGATCCGGAGGAGGAGGGGGCAGGAGATGAGGTGAGCGTGCTCCGTGCGTTGGCTCACCCGAACCTGCTGCGTGTTTTTGAGGTCGTGAAGTTTCCGCGTGAGGTGCTCATTGTCACGGAGCTGGCACCTGGTGGCACCCTGTCGACGTATGCTGCGGAACGCGACGGCGGGCCATGGATTGCAGGACACATTTTCTGAGCTTGTTCCGTCTGCAAGAGTGCAAAGTGGCAGATTTATGCTGGTGGCTTGCTGCCAGCTACCTAGCTTAAGACATGGGATGGCAAGAGAAAGAAAGATCCAGCCTACATCAGCCTACATTTTCGCGTGGTGTTGGCTGTTTGTCTGTTCTGTTTGCCATACTTGTGGCGGTCCTTCCCTTGCGTTCTGTCTAGTGCAGACTGCAGCAGACACGCACCATCCCGCGTTTGAAGTGGGCGAGGTTTAGTTCTCTGCTTACAAAACTGCTATTTCCCTGGAATGACGGGCACAGCCGCGTACAAGACACCAAGACTGGAGGGGTGGTGTGGGCAACGCACACATGCCATCTCATGCATGTACAACTGTACAAACGTACAAGCATGTGTTACGTCGTCTAGGAGCACGGGAGAACACGGATGTTGGTGGCCTCTTTATGTGTTCTGTGCTTTCTTCGGGAAGCGTGCAATCGTTTCGCAGTTGCTAACAGGAGCCATGCAGCAGATCGTGAGTGCTGTGGCCTACTGTCACCGGCAGTTTGTCCTGCACGGCGACCTGAAGCCCGAAAACGTCCTCATCGGCGGTGTTCGACCTGACGGTTCGCCCTTCTGCATAGTGTGCGACTTCGGGCATACGACGGTCTGCATAGGCTCTGCGCTCGTCGCAGCTCCGGGCGATCCACGGTACATTGCACCGGAGGTCATTGCCAAAGAGAACCTCTCCTCCAAGAGCGATGTCTACATGTTGGGTGTCACAGCCTTTGAGCTACTCACCGGTTGGCTTCCGTTTTTCAACCTGCGACCCGGCGATGCTTCGGATATTTTCTCTTTTTCTTTGGCGTGTTTCCAGCCTCAGCTCAAGCCAAGAAGGTCCCATCTTAAAAGAACCCCGCAGACAAGCTCAAAGGTTCGCTTGCGTCCAGTATTATAGTGCGAGTACATAAAATACACAAGACAAGTTCTCGCACAGTCCACATTGGGTGTGGTGAAGCGATGGCAAGCAGTCCGCTCAGGCGGTCGACTTCACTGCCCATGTGCTACCAGCAGCTTAGCCGCGGGGGTGTCCAAGAGCGCATCCTGTCGGAGAAAGGTTTGGACTGGCGTGACCTCGATAGAATCAAGGCCGCATGCCCGCTTCCTGTGCAGCAGGTCGTACTGGACATGATGGCAAGGCATGCTCACCAGCGACCTGAAGCTATCGAAGTTCTCAGAACATCGTGGCTGCAAGATGCGCATGGTCCTTGCAAGAGCGCCTACGATGCAATGCTGAAGGCTGATGCCAACAATGGCTGGGGACTCTGGATTCCTCAACACCCGCACTTTGAGCTGCGGCTGAAAGAGCGCGCCGGTCTGAGCTGGACTTATCGGATGCTTCTGAGTCTCCTCGGCTCCGGGCTTCGCTCCGAAGCGCTCCTGGGTGCAAGACTGCTCTTCAGACGCATGGATGAAGGAGGAAACGGGCAGTTGAACAAGAAGCAATTCTGCAAGGCAGCCTTGGCTGCTGGATTGAGTCTGGAAGTCGCAGAGTCCTTGTTTGCTGCGGGAGATTTGCATTCGCAGAGCTATCTAGACTTCAAGAACGTGGTGATGCTGTTCTTGGACCTTGACGCATTTAGCAGCCTGGACAGTCCTTGGAAACTTCTGCATAGGCAGCACGGAGCATCCCTTATCGCTGCAACAACATTTCGCTGCAAACTCCCGAATCCCTGCCCCTGCGTAGGTGCTTCGATTTTCGTGGTGCCATGTAGAAAAAAACGCACAGACCATCCGCAACGAGGGAGTCCGAGCTCTCGCCGACAGCCCTGACACACCACTAAAAAGGCGGGTGAAAGGCAACAGTCCGGCAAGCATGGGTCACATGATGTCGACAGAGTCAAAGCGTCTATTGAATGTGGCTCAGGTACCGAGGAGATGTTGGATGAACTGCGCTTTTTGGTCACTCGGATTCATGGCCCTCACTGCCGATCCAAACGTGACAGCGACAGCTCTTCCTACCACGGCTCTCGGGCTCGTGGGGAGGAGGAGGACAGCCTTGAGAACAACTCGGTAATGTTCAAGTTGAGTGACTTGCAGATGATGCTCCATGCGAGGCCTGATGCCAGAATGGAGCAATGGGTGCAAAATCTGCAAGCCGGACTGGGGCCAGGTGATCACAGCTTCACTGCTGAGCTTCTTTACAAACTGCTTCAGACAGATTGCTTCGAACAGAGAGGTGTGGAACCGTGCCCATCTGCTTCATGATTCATCCAAATGAATCCGCAAGAGGCTAAATGGTGTCGAACCAGTTTGGAGTTGGATGCACAGGCTTCGCCGACTACTGCTTGTGCACAGCGGAACCCCTCCATCGGTTCACTGTTTGCCGACCCCGACACTCCGCCAAGATGGGATAGTAAAGGAGGTGCTGGCGTGCTCTTGTACTGTGACGATGAGCTGCAAAGCCAAAGTGCTTTCGGTCGGCCCAGATCGAGGTGGCATCCGTGGACAGCTTCGAGAACGGGAGCTGCGGAGCCTGCAGAGCCTGCAGAGCCTGATGTTTCTGCGGATCATCCGCAGATTCGTCAGCAGCCAAGACTCGCAAAACCTGATCGCCACCAAGCTGGAGGTCCAGCTCCGAGCTGGCTTTGCTTAGGCATAGCGAATCACAGCGATTCGCATCATCCTCTCGTGCCTGTCGTAGCCTCGAGCTCAAATCGCCATGGCGGGCCCCGAAGAGAGCGAGTTGCCACCAGGACCACGCTGCCCGGACGTGTTTTGTCATGACCTTCCGCTACTCTACGCAACTCTCGTGCAGGCAAGAAGCCTCGAATTGAAAAGGCTGTGGTCATAGTCTCGCAGCCACGCAGCATGGCCGTGCAAGTAGTGTGATATGTTCTATTGCAGTTTCAGGTTGGTTCCGATGACCCAGTGGTTGATGCCGCTGCGGAAGCACTCGAGGCAGACACTGTCACGTGAGTTCATCACTGTAGACTTCTATACGTTGACTCCCCAAACAGATTCTTATGCTAAGGGTCAAGGCAGTTGATTGATATGGCGCCGCAGCATCGGCGCCAAACTGGCTCTCCGCATCGAATCATTTACAGGATGCGGTTTAAATCTGGTCCCCGCATCTTCTTGTTTATGCAGTTCGCCTCTCCCATTGTGGCGCTTTGCATGCGTTTGGCTGGCATCCTATTGTGCAATGCGAAGCCGTGCAGCGGTGCATCCCAGGGAGCACGATTCATTGTAAAATGCTCGCAGCAGTACTTGTGAGAAAGGGCTTAAGATGTCCTTGTGGATCCTGCCAGTTCAGGGGAACCCAAGCACCGGTGCTTGCCGGAAAGCATAGTAATCTCCTCGTGGTCTCTTGGTGGGTCTCCTGATGGTCTGTCTGGTGATCTCTTCGTGGTCGATGTTACCCGGCCAACAGCATGGTCCTGGCACCAGCGATTTCAGCTCGACCGCATGTTTTCCAGAACAAATCCCGAAGGCTGTGGAGCTCTGGACCCTCCAAACCGTTTTTTTGAGTACGGACGCTGAAAAAACTGTACTCTTGCTGGCGTTCCTATCCCTAGCTAACACGGTTCCCTTACATACACAGACAGTGATGCGAACACAGGCACACACAACGATTGCACATGGATTCGTGACGCGAAATGGATGTACTATTACGACTGTGGCTCCGATGATTTGGTGCGTCGCAAGCTGCGTGATTCCAGTCTTAGTTGTTCATGCACTTCTTGTACGTACAGCTTTTATTGTTTGGGATCTACACTGGTCTAACTCAGCATTGAGCGACCCTGCAGGACCTATTCTCCAAGTTTGAGGTTCCGGAATCCCATGGTCTAGGACATGCTCTGCGTGTATTGCAGCATGTTGACAAGGCCTGGCTCTCAGAGCCGCTTTGCTCATGAAGAATTCAAGTTTTTGACTGCTTTGCAAATGTCATGTTTCTCATGCAGGCGCTTGCAACTGCTGAGAGCATGCTGTCCAGCCGGAGACAAGCCGTTCGCCTTGCAGCCTTGCTGCATGATGCAGATGACCGATGCTTGGCTTGGATCATCCACTGTGCTGTTTCGGTACGCATCGGTCTTTCAGCTTTGCTGCTCTGCACCTCTCTCCGACCTCTGCAACTCGCGGTGTGGACCTGTTCACTCCCCCGAGGAAAGCTTTTCAAGGCTCACGCAGAGGCCGACCTGAGACTTCCTGGTTGAAGCGGTCTTGAAACTCAGTGCCATGTGACCATGTCCTGCAAGGCCTGCAATGCTAGAACGATAATGCAGACAGCTGGTGCAGATGCAGACGTCGTAAGCGAAGCTCTGCGCATGATTTCAAGCTGCAAGCCAGACGGACACAGGCTTATCTTGTCTGCCTGGTGCTAGAACATGTCCAGATCATTTGAGGATCAGTTTGGTCTCCTGCAACTTCCTCGGAACCAGTAGATGACGTGCCATGGAAGAACTGTCTTGCCACAGCCATACAGAGGGGTAATCTCTCGAAGCACCAAGGTTCGGCGAATGGAAACTCGGTCCCGGCAGATGCCCTGAATAATCCAGAAATCCTATGGCCCCGTTGGGCAGACCGGCTGGAGGCGGATGGTTGTCTCCAGTGTTTCTGTTCGGCCGCCCCAAACATTTGTCTCGACAGCTGCTGTCTTGTTCGCAGAAAGGGTTGACTGCCAGCATAAGAACTACTGTTCCCACGTTTTTCGAGTTGGCTCCGATCTGACCTCTTGCTGTGCGTACCTTCGTCGTGAAGGATATGCAACACACGAGTTACTGTCTCAACGCGATGAAAAGGACCAACCCTTCGCAGACACGTGGAACTGTGGGACAGTTTGGCGCTTCGCACGACGTCCTCGCCCGAAAACACACCGCCAGGCAATGCCGGGAACCAGCAGCAAGCGTTTCAAGGTCGCAGCACGGCTTAGCATGCCCTAGCAAGTCCAAGAACCTCAAGGTTTCAAGCCCCGATTAATCTCGAGAGATAAGAAAGGGTGCAGAAGTGGGCTTGCCAAGCCTGCTATGATCTTCACAAGTTTTTGCCAATGGTTCCTGGCCTGAGATCGCCTGCGAATTTTTGGGCTCATCTGACCAAACGCATTTTGCTAGTGGGTGGGGCACGGGCAGAGGAGGAGCCCGAAACCAGGTTGGCATGATGCTGAAATGGGGCGGTGCGTCGGCGATGGCGATGGGGGCAGACGTCCCTTTGGGGCACTGGAGCCTTTGCCGTGCTCAGGCAACTGGTGAGATTGGCATCCTCCGCTCCTTGGCCCTCGGCAGTTCCATGTGTCCTCGCCGCGAGCAGTTGCGAGCGCCGAGGCTGTTGGCAATTCAACCAGGAAGTGGGAAGGCCAATAGTCGTGTCGGAGACACCTCGGCCACAGACAGAGGTCGACCATTTGGCAAGCGCAAATCCTTTTGATCTAATTCTCGGAGAGAGTCCGCCGAAAGAGGCAGAAGTATGGAGTTTTGCCACCGACGAACGCTTCCAGAGGCAATGTGTCACGGAAGTTTCAGCTGAAGTCAGCAAGGAGATGTGCTTTTCAACATTATGCTGCAGGTATCAGAGCTCCGGGGGTGGATCCAGTTCCATGTTAGATCATTACTACGATCCTTGGTATGGCCAGCTTTGACGTGTCCGTTCAGCCTTCGAGTATCTTCGAGTCGATGCGTTCTGCTTGCAAGTGCGACGGCCCAGGACAAGCTGTTGAGAGTGGCGTGCCCTCCCCTCGAAGTCGTCCAGAATGCCTACCTGGAGCAGGCCTGGCACGCTCGTGCAGAGTTCATGCTGCGGACTTCTATCTCCTCTGTTCCTGAACAGAGGAGATGGCAGCACGATCCAAGCCGTTGGTGCAGATCTGCTTGGCATATGGCCGCACCGGCACGGTGCCACTTGATGACGTCAGTCGTCTGCAAGAAAGAGAGAAGCTCCCACGAAGTGTCACTGTCTAGTGCCTGAGGAAGCTATCTGCAAGTTGCGGGACAAATTGACTGAGCCTGGCCAGGGGTTGGTCCGGTAGTAGCTGTACAGCACCAGGAGCTTCCGAAATCGAAGGAGCCCTGTGCTGCTGCAAACCGAAAACAGCGGTCGGGCCTACTATACGGGCGTGTCTTGTGGCTGTTCATCCTCGCGTGCGACAGTTCAGGGCCGGGTCGGTTTCGAAGCAGCAGCTACGCAGACAAACAAGGATGTAAATGGGTAGAAGAGGGACGGAGGTCCCGGAGGACTTCTTTCAGATCGCAACACTACAAACTGCTTCGTAAAGGTTGATAGAGGCAAAGGGGTGCAAAGGGTGACTGTTGATTTGTGTGCCACGTGCGCCTACGGCGTGCAAGCCAGGCCATTGAAAAGGCTCTGTCCTGTGCACCAGCAACATCGCAGTGCATCCCTTCAATCAGATACTCGTGTAAGTTTTTGCTGCGGTCCAACGCTCCCACGGCTACGTAGCTGCGTCAGAGGACACAAACCAGTGCACCAACAACAAGTGCGGCGATAGGATTGAGTACCTAGTATCGGTATCGGTATCGTCGATAGGAAAATTTTCCTAGCAAGCAAGCTTGATCTGAATTTGTGGGATGGCTGGTCCATACAAACTCTCGATGGACCATGAAGTCAAAGATCATGAATCAAGAAGTCAAAGATCGGGCAAACGACTGTTTACAGAGGACCCTCTCAGGATATGCTGCATCGTGTCGCGAACACCAGCTCCAGCAACAGATACCTTCAGCAAATGATGTGGGGCGAAAAGCTACAAAAGGACGTGGATAGGGTTCCGCAGTGAATTATCCGGTGCACATCAGCTCAGCTCATGTCCCAGTTCACCCGGCTTCCATGCGCCGGCTTGCGTGAGCGCACGTGTGAGGTGCACCTGCGTGGACCTTTCGCTTGTCGCTATGCCGTCTGTCGGCATCCCCCCGGGATGCAGGAGGACATACTTTCGTGCCCTCCTGCTTCGCTCTGCTTCGCTGCCCGCGGCATGCGCTCTCGCACCACGGCGAACTTGCAGCTGCACAGGGCAAACTGACGAGTCGGCTGACTGCAAGACGGCACGCGCCGTGCTGTGCCGCAACACCGCAGCTCTGCCTGAAGTTTCACGACTTGTACCGAACATACGAGCTGCTTGCAGCATCAAGAGTAATTTCATGTTCCACCGGGCATGTTCATCTTGGATGTGCACGACGTCGGTTATGGGGTTTGGGTATACTATCGGACTTGCCAGGAGGCCTTCGTAAACATATTGAGAGTTCCAGAGTTCGTTACTT